GAAACGTTCCATGCGTAACCAATTGTCGCAACTCATCAAGAACTTCCGAAAGATAGATGATAGTGAAATGGAAAACAAAAGTTTGATGTCAAAGACCGTCAAATAGCTCCGTCAAATGATTTTACGCCATGGGTTTACGTCACGTTTAAAACAGATTTTCCAGTCCATTTTCTTTTTGTCTTTACGGCCTGTCAGTGTGTTTATAACATATCTATATATATTACATGACCTTGCCATCACTGATTGTATAATGTGTCCGTAAAGTTAAAGCGTGCAGTAACTCACCGGCATTTGGACAAGATTACGTTACAACCGTTACACAGTGTACTCGAGGTGTGACTAAATGCACGTTCGCGATTGCGTTACTTTTTTCGGCGCTTCGAAACTCGGGCTATGAGATGGCTTTTTTGGAGAAAACATTAAAATATTTTGTACCACTCTCGATATAAACACAAAATGAATTTCGCTCTCTCAAATGAAAACTTAAAATCGTTGATTTTTTCACAACCGCACACCTTCTGTTCACCTTGGGAAGAATTTCCTCGAAAACGATGACGTCATTATTAGATGATGTAAATTTTTCAAAAATGTCACCGGAATGCTAATAAAAGAAGTCAAAACCGCTCGAGCTGCATAAACTTTTCAGTCACCCTCAGAAGAAGAGCTTCGAATAATTTCATAATGGCCTCACGCGCAGTTGCCCGATTAACCAAGTCTGTACTTTCGGAAAGTGTTATACCCCGTGTTCTTATCGCAAAGGCGCTCTCAGCGAATGCTGGACCCAAAGAACGAATTTGGTCCTGTAGCAAAGAAGCTGATCAAAGCCAGATCGGCCTCGAATGTCTGAAAGATATGGTTATAGATGGTGATATACAACTTTTTGATGTCAGGGAGCCCCACGAACTTGCCTCACTGGGAAAAATACCAAAGTCTGTGAACATACCCTGTAAGTAGTTGTAGGGAATATTTGATAAATTTCGCTTGCTTACAAGTTCGGTTTCAATCTCGGGGTATAAACTTTTTCGCCTATGATAGGCACAGCTGCTCATCATTCTCGTCAATTTTCAGAAATGTTTCGTCTCATTTTCATGATCCACTACGATTGTCACGCTCGAGTTTATTTTTATTTTTATTTTTCAGTGTCACAAGTCGTTGAGGCATTTAGCTTGAGCCCGGCAGAGTTCGAACAAAAATATGGAGTCCAAAAACCAGATGTAAAAGATGATAATCTCATCTTCCACTGTCAATCGGGAAGGAGAGCAAAGAAAGCCATGGAAAGCGTGAAAGAACTCGGCTTTGATAAGTAAGCTTATGTTTCTTGTGCATGTTATTTCATTTGAGATTTGAGCAAATTTTGAAAATGTTGTCCTACGGTGTACCGTTGGACAAATATTTCAAAATTCGCTCAAGTCTCATTAAACTCTCNCGAACTTAATTCAAAAGTTTGATTCAGACGCCGTGCTTCTGCCGTGCTTTTGTCGAACTTAATTCCTGAATTTAGTTCGGCACGGCAGAAGCACGATGTCTGAACTGGGCCTTAGTTATCTAATACCGCAGAATCCCCTGTGCACATATATGTAGATTTAATTTCATGCACCTAAAAGCGTTTAGAATTGGTTTTCTTATCGTCGCGCTTTGCGGTTTGGAGACGTATGAATATAAAAAAGTCAACATATTATTTCGTGCACTCTTGCAGATTTTGCTGAAACAACAAGTGAATTAACGATCGGGCTGATTTTTCTTTGCATTACGTCAAACAAAAGATGTACTTGAGTTGCTAAGGAACAAACGCAAATGGGTCACCAAGCGAAAAAAATTAATACACAGCTTGCTTAGATCACAAAACAATTCCATGTGTGAACATAGAGAGCTAGTAAATGAAAAAGAAACTGAAAGTGCCTACTTTCGCTTTTTTTTTTTTTTTTTGGATATTCAGGGCAGGAAATCAGAGTTAATGAGGAAGTAAATGGCGTTTCCTGTAATGCATTTCTGAACGTACGAATTTAACAAGCTCTTCAAAACCACTTCTAAGAAATTTCGAAAAGAGTTATATACGCCCCAGCACCCAGGACCTAATGTACAATTAATTCATTATTCACGGCACCACTGAAATTAACTACACATGACGTAATGCCGCATCACGTCACAATTAACCACAGGTCACGCAAGCGTAATATAAGAGTTTGTATGGAGAACTGTGACTAAAATATAGGAGTTTGTATGGAGATCAGGAGTTGGCATTAAAATTCGTTCAATGTATGGGTAATCTACCAAATTAAGACTCTTGAACCTTCAATGGTGTCATTTTTTCTCATCCTGGAGAGTTTAAATGAGATTTGAGCAAATTTTGAAAATGTTGTCCTATGGTGTACCGTTGGACAAATATTTCAAAATTCGCTCAAGTCTCATTTAAACTCTCCAGGATGAGAAAAAATGACACCATTGAATGTTCAAGAGTCTTTATTCAGTAAATTACCCATACATTGAACGAATTTAATGTCAACTCCTGATCTCCATACAAACTCTTTTATTTTAGCCACAGTTCTCCATACAAACTCTTATATTACGCTTGGGTGACCTGTGAATTAACCTTTGATAGGCTTCAGTCATCTGACTTGTACCGTTTGCCCACAACCCTTCAAAATATATGAAAACTATACAAACTATTGATTCCAGGGAGGTTTTATTATGAACCAAACATGAAGATAAATTATTCATAAAAAAGCAGACTTTGTAACAATACATCTGCATAGGGCAGCCTCTACAATGTAATCTTCATTCATTTTATTTTCATAAATATTTACCTATCCCCAAATGTCCAAGTTTATTTGAATTAATGTATAAAATCATTTAAATTTTTATTTTTCAGGGCCACTCATTTCAGTAGAGTCTGGTCTGAATGGGAGTTTTATATCAAACGCAGACCACAAGCTGTCCAACCCAAAAGGCCGCCAATACGCCGAGAAAGATGATGCTGACTTCAATGTTTGCAGGATCAAATTAAGTTACTGTGCAATAACTAGTTATGAACAATTGTTTTTTTTTTTCTCTGAGAACAACGATGACTTTTTTTCTTACATATTTAGTAAAATTTGGGGTTCTTAAGTTTTGGAAAAGTTTTGTACTGTGTGTTTTTTATAAAACTGTAAAAAGTAATGTACCTTTTTACTGATGTCACGCAATATCAATAATTTTTTTTGTAATTTTCAAATAGACAGAAATCACCTCCATAGTTCAATTTATTATTCCGAATTTAGTAAATCCTCAAAGTTTCATAAGAATCTGTTACAAACTCATAAAAATATAGGACCCCAAATTTACCAAGAAATGTATGCCAGGGGCAAGTGTTGTTGTTCATTCAACTAGGTGTCACATAAGATCTCAGATGTACATAACTGGTTATTAAGAGAATGTTTTTTAATTTATTTACTTGGAAATTTAGTTTCAACAGTTGAAACTACTTTGGTATTCTCTTAATAAGCTCACTGATGCTAATAACAGGTTGTTGTAGATCTATATTTGTGAATATCAATTTTATAATTTCAGCTATTTATTATCAATGACTTGTATGAAAATGTTTTGTTAGTGTTCAGCCTTTGCCTTGTGCAAGGTGTGCAATTGAAAAGACAAAAAATAATAAAATATTAGAGTAAAAATTTCTCGTAATAGTTTCAATGTGCTAAATTAACCAGTCCTAGGTGAAGTTGCTTCATTAAGCGAGTTACGTACAACTCTGGGCAACCCAGTTTAGCTTTCCAGGTTGACTTTCTCTTGGTCACATCATAACACTTACAACACTCTGGGGTTGAGAACGGGTCAGTTTGTGAGTCAATGGGTTAAGGCCTTCTTTTCTCTCCCTTCAAAAGAACTTGAAGGATATAAACCACTCCTAAGTTTGTAGAGAGTTTACATTCAGCTTCAGGTTTACTTGTGCAAACAAAGACAAATCAATCATACCTTCCTAGAAACCTTTGTAACAATCTCATTGTGATGCAGGCATATTTCGTAACTTCAGCTGGTATATATTTTCCCATTGTGCAAGAGCCATTAACCCAGAGTCAGCTTCACGCAAATTATAAAAATATTGAAATGAACCAATATTAAAATTTTCTCGATGTTTTGAAGGTAAAGCTTTCAATACATATTTGTTCACATTTACATAGAATACCCTTAGCTTGTTAGCCATTAGATAGAGTAATACCACATTAAAAGGCCTCTGAAGACAAGAATGATTCTCGGAGATAATTTCTCTGTTTATAAAGTCAATACTTATTTCCTGGGAAAGATCAGATTTTTAATTCTCTTTACCTACCAAATTGAATTTCTAATCACATAGTGAGGAGAAGTAGGATCATCATCACAGATGACGTTCCGGTTAAATAATAGCATCTTTAACGTTTGCGTGCTGCAGTTGTAGGTCTCTCGTTGATAACAGATTGATGGAACAGCTGGTACAATATATTCACTTTCTGATGGCCACTGTTTACATACAATTCAAAATCAGTAAAACGTATTTGCTACAGGTTAGAACTGAGGGGGGTCAAAACAATACCTGGCTGATGTTAAATCAGTAGATCTGTAGAACTATAAGCTCACGAAAGTTGTCTGAAGTTTCACATTTGAGCTCACCATCTTGTTACTTATACACGAGGAAATGGATGTCTTCTGAATCGAATTTGTAAACTTAACACACGATATAAAATGTCTAAGTTTAAATTGACTTTAGAACGAGAGGTTTCCACAATGATGTCCCACAGGCGAGCCGCCACTACAAACTTAGCTAGTTTAAACATCTTTTATTTCCTGCAACATCGTGAAACTCGTCGTGTAAAAACCTGACATTGAATATCCGGGTGAACATCCTTCTAACAAAAAGTCAAAATCAATCGCTACTTAGCTAGAAGAGAAAACAAGATACACCGTTTTGAGAATGAACGATCTGAATTACCAACACAAAAAATAAATTATCTTAGGCTACAACACAAATAGAAGACGTGCAAACCCTTGCAAATCACAATTTCGTCAACTTATTTCGACTTCGCACCACGTTTCTGGAGAACAAAAGATATTTATGGCAAACTGTCGTCAGTGGAGGATTATGGTATATCCGAGGTCACGTGGTGTCGCCACATCGTGGAGGCGCTTGAGCTGCGCCCCGAAGCAGCTCTGAGTGAGGGCGCCATAATGAAGAGGGAAAAAGTACGCGGTCGTTCTCGTAAACGAAAGAAGTTTCATTTCATTTAAACCCATAAATCAATGTGTAAGAGTTCTACCAAGAACATGGTAATATTTGTTTTCGTTGTCGATACCTCTGCGTCTATGAACCAGAGAACGTCTATAGGCACTACGTTGCTTGACGTCGCGAAAAATGCCGTGGAAACCTTTACAAAGGTAATGAGTTTGCCCTCTGTTCAATCTGAGGCTTAGAATGACAGTTGTTTTATTTGCCTGACCCGTAAAATTTGTCTTGTTTAGTTTCGTCAGCGAGATCAGGCGAGTCGAACTGATCGATATATGTTGGTGACGTTAGAGGAGCCGCCAGGAGCAATAAAGGTATGGCCCTATTGTGAGCAGCAATGAAGCTCCCATCGCCGAGATCGTTGGACCGTATTGTACCTCGGACGGCTCGTGTCAGCGCAAAGAAATCGCACATGAAGGAAATTTATCTCCGGAAAAAATGCATTTCAAGCCTTGGAAGATTGTTGTTGTTAATTTACCGGAAATTTTCGTGTCTTTTGTGACTTTGTTTAGTCATGTTTACGACCCTAAAGGAATTATGGGTATTGTTTTGAAGCGATTATGTTGTAAACATATAATTGTTTATATTGACTCCAAAGGCTAGATTATGTTCTTAGATTGGTGTTTTCAGTGTCCCATTAAAAAAGAAAAAAAGTAAAATTGCATTTAGAAATATATTTTAACACATTATTCTTATCATTTGTCCTAAAACTGGTCGCAGGCTTATTTCCTGCTTAGAATTTTGAGCCTATATAGCCAACTCTTCAATTAGTCTGTCACTAATTTCAAGATGTATGACATCAGCCAAACATAACAATCCCCTTTTAACTTGTGCAATATTATTATTTATGAGGTTGATATATTATTAAAAATTTTTTTTTTTTTTTGCAAGGCTGGTTGGCGAGAAAATCAAGTAACTTTCATGAATGAACTAAAGAATCTCCAAGCAACTGGACTGTCAACATTAGGGACTTCATTGAAAGAAGCTTTCGATCTTTTGAATTTGTATCGTCTGCACTCTGGAATAGATAACTACGGAATGGTAAGATATGTACTGTAATTTGCGTAAAAAGTTGAATTGGAGCAAATCATGATTGGGTTACCGGGGTATACCTGGGTTAGGTATACATGAATTTACAAGATTTACAGGGATATTTATGGGTAATGGAGACCTGTATTAAATTGAGAAATATCAGGATGACTTTATGGTAGCCAACAATGAATTATATAACTCACTAGCGCTGAAAATTTGACTTTCTGTTATTACAGGGACGAAATCCTTTCTATGTTGAGCCAGCGATGGTAATTTGTATTACTGATGGCAGCAAACTTTCAGGTCAAGGTGGAATACAGGATGAGGTAATTAATAGAATTGATTAGTCACAGGTATATCAAAAGCTAATAAATTTTAATATAGGTATGACATGGCCTGTTGGTGTTTTTTTTTTTTAATTTATGGTGGGAGGTTTTCTGATTTATTTTCCTCTGCAAGCTTTTAGTTTCTGTTTTGGATAATGTTGTAGTCAAATATGATAAGTTCTACACTTGAAAATCTAAGGGAGATTTTTTCCCTTATTTGGTAGAAATGCACATGCTTTGCAGTCACTGTTGTACAGTTGATGAGGTGTTGCTGTTTACTAAGCCATAACTAGTTACAACCTACTTTTTAGTGGTTGGGTTAGTCAATCTAAGGAAATGGAGTTCTTGTAACTTTGACTTGATCAATAGATTGGTTAATAGAGAATAGACATTGAAAAGTAATCCAGTTTGTTACTGTGAAGGAAATAAAAAGCACTGTAAGTGATAAAATTTTATATGATTGATTAATTTTCTTTTTTTAGCTTCATTTGCCCATGCATACGATGTTGCCAGGACATGAACTGACAACAGAACCATTTCGTTGGGATCAGAGATTGTTTTCCATCATATTACGCATGCCTGGAACCAGAAGTTCCATGCCAGGAAAGATCGGAATACAAAGCAATGAACCTGCCATTGCTGCCATGTGTGAAGTCACAGGAGGTAACATCACCTTTTAGGATTTTTTTTTCTTAATCATTTTTGATTATTCAAAGATGCAATTTTCTTGATAGAAATTTAAACTTGTCTCTGGTCATGATTCATGTTTATTTTCAGGGCGATGTTATAAGGTTACGTCATCAAAGTCTTTGGGACAAGCTTTAGAATCTCTTGTGCAAAAAGTCCAGTGTGGTGTGGTAATTAACTTCGAGAAGATTGGTGGAGCCAATAATCCCCCACCACCACCCCCTGAAGGTAGAGTAGCAATCTTTGCTTCCAAATCAGCAAGTACCAAACATCACACAGTCAACTATTGAAGTCAGATGTCTGTCCTTTCACTTCATACGATTTGGCTAATTTTCACTGCCCACACCAATCATTACAATTTTTCAATATCTAGATAAAATTAAAATATAAAAAATATTTTTGCAAAAGATTAATTTTTTGCAAATTTGTGCATTTAACAGAAATCAATAGCACAATAATTTTATTCTAAAATACACTTTACAGCATTTATAACTTGTCTGTACTTTAAATTGACTACTTTGAGATTTTCTCTGTAGTTAGCTATTTGTAGGTCTTGAAGTGCCGCTCAGTCGTCCGAGACAAGTAGATTTTCCTGCTGGGCAAGTAGCTTTTCACTCTCAGTTGCCCAGTGGACAAGGGATTAGGCAAGTCGCCTGCCATCTAAAGTAGAAAAGGAGTAAACAAAAACTTGCCCAGGGCAAGGTGGAATTCAAGTTTTTTTTTTTTCAAGTCCTTTATTTTGGCATTTCATTTTGGTATTTCAGATGGAAGTGTTTTGTCATTTTATGGCTGAAATTTTCTTACTTTATTTTATTTTGTTTTATTTTCACTTTTTTTAGTTGTAAAGAACAATATAATGGAGGCACGAGAGACTGATTCTCCAACTCCTCCCCTCTTGATTCATAACCATGTCATGAACAATGTAGACTATGTCAAAGATGAAATAAAAGACAAGAACTCATTTAATAATGAGGAAAATCATGTGAAGATAGAAGGGTCATTAGCAAGGTTTGTCTCTCGGAATGAAGTGTTTTATTTTAGACTGTGCTTAAACGCTGTCTGTCACTCTAGTAAGAGTTGGTGCTGTAATTAATGGTATTTCTTACTCTGTAGTCTGTTGACTGATCTGTAATTGTTATTTGTATATGAAGTCTGCAGTATCTTTCAAACTTAGACTGTACATACATGTCTAGATGTCAAGTTTGCAAACTCTAACTAATCTCTGTGGCACTGAATTGTAATCTCTCTACATGTATGTGAACTCATTTTTGTAGTTATCGCATCTTTTGAATATCAACTTTCGATTACAGGTAAGCTCTATAATTTAGACTGTTTTTACCAAGTACAGTGTATAATAAGAAGTTTTTTTCCACCTATCTGTAGATGTCAACAGGCTGGAGATAGCATAGCTCCAGTACCATCAAACAGCTTGCAGCCTGATGATGCTCTTGGTAGTATGGGAATGACAAGATCAACAACATCCTCCCCAGTGCCACCAAGTGCGCAGACTACAGCATGGATGAGTTGCCGCCGAATGATTTATATCAAAAGCTCTCCACCATCTGGTCACTGGCCTGTACCAGAATCATTCTGGCCAGATCCATCAATGCAAATACTGGTAATCATTTTCTTGCATCTTAAAGGTTTAGATCTCAAAGGTTTAGGGATGTAGCTGAGATAAAACAAAGGTGGCTTCTTGACAAGCTCAGCTGGCTTCTCTGGCCTGTACACCTTCAAAATTATGCCAAGGTTTTTTAACCTCTCCAGTGAAGTTTCAGCCAATGATAAACTCTCCCTTCAGCTGGTGAAATTAGCTAGTAGTCAGCTCTTAGCTATATCTCAGATTGTTAGTGCTTCATACATAATTTGTGCAGCAGTAACATAAACAGAAACATGCATGTACCAATGATAACCAAAATGGCAGGGGGAGAACATTTAGAGGGAATGCTGCATTACAGAGTAGTAACCATTTTAAGGGCTCAAAAAAATGCCTCCCAGTTGTCCAGAGGTAGATTTTACTTCTGGGCAAGGAACATTTCATCTCACTTGCCCAATGGGCAAGGGATCAGGCAAGTCGTCTACCAACTAAATCATTAAAAGAGCAAGCTAAGACTTGCCCAGGGCAATCATTATTTGTGAGATACTTGTCCTAGGGGTTAGCTGTCCAGAATTTAAGTTTTTTCGAACCCTGCATTGTGGGTGTAAATTGATTAGATAAATCCTTTACAAGTATGAAGCATGCTTGGTGGTTTGGGAACCTCTATGCAGGAACATTAGCAAAACAGTGCTTGAAAACAGAACTTGTTTCAATACTCAGAAATAGAATGAAACCTTTGGAAACAGGCACATCACTGGTGAATGGTCTTATAAGTCCTCATCACAGCTTGAACCTCCCTGTTGTGGACACCATTTAGTCCAAAGTTGACATTTGTGGTCCCTAGGGTATCCACTTGGGAAGTACCTTGATTTTATTCAAGTTGTCTTGTGATGCTAGTCACTTAATAATTTTTTATAAATATAGATCCTCAGTTTGAACGCTTACTGTAAATTGAACTTTTTTTTTTACCACAGAACAATTTTAGTAGCTCATTAACGTCCTAAATGATTTGTTTTTTATCAGCCTTCACGAGATGCCCATCCCAGTGTGTTTTTTTCATGCAACAATTCAGAGCCATTGGTCCTTGACAATCTGCCATTTGACAAGTATGAGCTGGAACCATCACCGCTGACACAATACATCCTGGAGAGAAAATCACCATCAAACTGTTGGCAGGTAAGTTGGTAATGTACGAAGTTGTTGTGAAAATCCTGGTAGTTTTGAGAAGGTCAAACTAGTTAGGCAAAATCAATCCCACAGCAGATCACAAGCCCTGTGTGTCTTGAATCAACACCCCTTAAATAATGAATAAGCACCAGTATTGAAGTATATTTCCAGAAATGACGACAGCTGTAGCTGAAGCTAGGATGCGTTTATATTTAACAATTAAATTATGAGTTGTGAGTTGTTTAAAACTTTGTCTAATTCCTCTTCACATGGACTTCAGGAATGCAAAGAATCAGCTGCCATTTTGTTAATAACAGGGTTCGTATGGGTCCTGGAAAACCTGGAAAGTCCTGGAATTTTATTGTGGCATTTTCCAGGACTGGAAAGTCCTGGAAAAGGGTTACTGGTGCTGGAAAGTTCTGGAAATCTGTTAAACTCAAGTAAAAAACATGAAATGTATGGCAGACAGTAAGGAGAATTAACATTAAGATAATGGGAGTGAAAGGGTTAATGTGAATTTTAGAGTCCTGGAAAAGTCCTGGAAAAATCCTGGAAAAGTCCTGGAAAAATCCTGGAAAAGTCCTGGAAATTTGTTTCTGAAAAAGAGTACGAACCCTGTAATAACTGCGCACTGCTAGTCTACTATAACTATCTACAACAGAATATTATAGATAGTGAGCAGCATAGCCAATAAGACAACAGCATTCTTGATAGAATGCTAATAGATTTATATGAAGAAGTAGTCTTACACTGTTGATAGTGACACACTCTCGACCAACAAGTCAGTCGTGCATTTAAATTTTCTTACTGTATATGCATGTGTTCATCTGTTCTACGTACTGTATGATTCAGTTTGGAACAGTCATGTCTATGGGAAACTTCTATTTCCTAGCTTTCCTTTTTAGTGAGAAAGTTGGTTTTACTTGTTATTTTCAGACATTCATTTTGAACAGCAGCAAGAAAGTTGGTGATATGGGATTTCCTTTTGGTTACCTAAAGGCTAGCAGTAACCTTCAAACAGTGAATCTGTTTGTTATGCCATATAATTTCCCAGTGCTATTTCCTATTGTAGGTAAGAATATTGCCAGTGAAAGTTGTAAATATGTTAATTTTTTTTTTTTTGCAATCATTGACAGTGAGTTTTTATGGAATCATTATCCATTTTATCTTTGTGTGGAATTGATGAGAAATTTTTGAGCTTTTGATAAGATTTAGATTCTGATAGGCAATGTCTAACAGTTTATAAGAGAACCATTTGCTCCTTCTCTGGCTTTGTTTATTTATTTTTTTCCTTGCAAAAGAAAATTACGAACAATCAAGAAATAATTTATCCTTCATTCTTGACTGTATGTTAGAAGCACTCCTAAATCAAACCAGTTTGTGAACTAACTGTGTTTACACAGAAAAACTTGTTAGCTAATGTTTGTTAACTGTTTAAAGTCATTTTCCTAATGCTGTGGATTCCAGAGAAGTGAAAAATGGCTAATGATTCTGTCTACTTTAAGAAACTTCATGTTTCCAAAGTTTGATCAGAATTACACTTTCATCAGTTTAACATGTTGCATGAGATTCTGTAGCAGTAAATAGCAATGTTTGTTGCAAGTCTTGAGGGATGGGCTGTTACATTTTTTGAAAGATGAGCAAAGTATCTAGAAAAGAAACATTCATTTATGATGATCTGGCTTTAAAACTATTCATTCCTTTTGGAGATTGTTTAGAAAAGAGAAACATCTCTGCCGTGTCGATGATTGAAAATTAGGTTTGTCACCTAAGAGTCTGTTCTGGTTCAATCAGCATTCTATTGACTCTTATGAAACTCAAGGTAATGTGTTGTAGATGGGATTACTGTACCTTTCTGTGCTCCAAAAACTTAACAGCCCATCCCTTGTCGAATTTGTTTGTCTGGTTGTAAGTTCTTGTTTATTGAGTACATTTTACAAGCTGGCTGCAACCTCTGCAGGAGACTCGCACAGCTTCTCCTTGCAAATGATGGTCTTGTTGGCCAGATATTTCCTCTTCACATCTGAGGTTGGTTTGTGCATGTGTGATCTGTCATTCACTGTCGTTGTTTGTTGTGATTTGATGTAAGTGTGGTCATGTCATGTATACATGGTATGTGATGATCTTTGTTATGTAGTTGTTTTAGTATGAAGTTTTAGTGTAATCCCAATTTTTCAAACCTTCAAAGGAGACGAAAATTGGGTTCAAAAACTAGGTAGTTTGAGAAATTGGGGGGTAAAATTATGTACAGTGTTTGATTGAGGGAAGGGAAACAACTTTTGGTTCGAGTTTTCAGGAGGTTCAAAGAATCGTCACCATCATGACATATTTATTACAGAAATATTTATTATAAAATGCTGCTTCTTGTTAACATAGCTTGGTGCAACAACTAAAGAAACTTTGCAATAGTTTTGAAAAAAAGCCTTGCCTGCTGTGCAACTTACGTTTACATAAACATTGATTTCCTTGAAATTTTTATCTCGTGTTTGCATCAATCAGCCTATGTAAACTCATGTGGTATTTCCTTTTCAGTATACAGGTGTTATTGTTGTCGTTGTTTTTACTTAATTTCTATTTACGCACATGAAAATGTGGAAAATAACATAATACAGAGACTATGACTGTTACATTAAGATGAACTTAACAAAAAAAGAAACAAAATAATATGGATGGCAGACTTTTTATTTTCCATTGATGCTAAAATTCAGAGAATGGTGATTGATTGTTTAAGGCAGAACTTACAGGTTAAATGCCACAAATACCCCAAAATAATACGGGGTTTTAAAGAAATTGTGAGTGGTTTCTGAAGAATGCCTTCAGTTGGCCTATTAAAACAGTGTATTACTCTCTTTCAGATGAACTAGTTAAAGTTCACAAGATGAAACCAACTGCAAAGTGGAAAGAGAAATTTGAAAGCTATCTTTCAACAATGCCAAACTACTATGCAGGGGTGAGTATTGTACATGTAGTACTGTCTGATTATTATTTTATAATGATCTTGCATTATTTGAGGTCATTATTAAGGAAACACCCCTTAAATGTTGAACATCGTGGTTGTATAATTTAGCATGTTGTACTACAGATTGAGTGGTATCTGCTTAAACTGGTCGAGGTCATTGTGTTGTGTTCTTGGGTAATTATGACTAAAAATGTTTAGTTGAGTTTTTGTTTTGATGTTAAAATTTTTGTTTACTCACTTACACATTTTTATGTTTTCATTTCATGACCAGCCTCTCCGCAATGCATTTCGCCGCATGGGCATTCCTCCAAACATTGTTCCAGATCACTTGGACTCTTTCCTAAGTTACACAGTTGTAAATTATCTGAAGAAGGTCAAGCAGCAGGTGAGATCTGGAGCGAGGGAGATTCAAGAGGGCTAGTGTGAGATCAGAAAGAGCAGGGAGGGTGCAAGGTGGGAAGGGAATGGAGGTTTCAGGATCAGGAAGAGACAGTAGGGAGATTAAAGAAGGTTGTGATAAGATCTGGGCCACATTTCTTGGAAGCCCCAGAAACTTTTCAGGCCCATAAAGATATTTTAAGTCAAGTGTATACCGGTACACCTGAAATGTCTTGTCCTCTTTTCAAATTAAGAATATATGAATAAAACCACTCTGTAGTCATAATGTTTGAGAATTTGCTAGCTACTTGTATGGCTCTCCGGGTGTGAAAACATTTCAGGAATTTCGAGAAACGTGTCCCAGGACTCAAGAATGGGTGTAAGATAAGGAGGAGAGGGAGGCAAACATCAGAAGAGTAGTGTTTCAGTTTCATTTTCAGTTATTATTATTTTACCATGCAATATATTAATAAAAATAACTGTGCAAATGTCAAAACTATGAGGCCAGGAAGCCCAAGGATGCCAAAATGCTTACAGTGTATGTAAAGGCCCGCCTTTAGAGAGAAGATGTAGGACTTGTTAATTTACATTTTTTTTTTAGTTATATATTACTAGAGTTAGGGGCCTGGCTACCTGAAATACCAAGAGAGTTAAAAAGGGCAGGCAGCCAGGTCTACAGATGTATTAATACAAATTTTAGGTCGGTACACACACACACACACAACACATAGCAAGCAATAAATAACAACAAAAACAACACCAAAGGCCAAAAAAGTACACACAAGCACACCATGAAGAAGTAAAATATGCTTATACCAAGAGAAATGACTTAAGTTTAGAGGTGAAAAGAGCAATATATATAAAATTCAACCTGTGTAAAATTAAATTCAGAAATGTTGACATGGTGGCTGTATGGAATGTGCTTGATGTGTTGCTGTTGTGGTTTTGTTTTTAGAGCAAAATGGAGACTGATAGGCTGATATCCCTTGTCGGCAAAAACCCTGCTGCTAGAGAAGCAGTACAAAGGCCACTGAGGTTAGTATTAATATTAGAATATTGATATTGAACTATGAAATAAAGGTGATTGTATAATATTTTGCTTTATTGATATTTTGATTTGCATTGTGCAAAGTGCCTCTTGTCTGGAAAATTATGATTGTGCAATTAGAAATGCTATTTACTTAAAATTATATTATGCAACTTCTGCAGTAATCTTTTAGACCCAAGCTTGAATTATTATTATTTATCCAATCATTGCTGAATGCCATGTGTACATATTTTGTACTCTTTATTTTGTTCTTAATCCTAAAAAGCAGTGCATGTGTAAACTACAATTTACAATATGAATCTGTAATTTATTAATGGTGTCTGTTATTCTTGTGTCACCTGTCTGCTTGATTATAATGTTACTATTAATAATAAAGTCATTATTGAAGAATTATTGAATAAATGTTGTGTGGTCAATCCTTGTGAAACTGAGCCTTTTGGTCATGTACCTTCACATCACTGTAGAACCCTGCTTTCTCGAATTTGGTTGTTTTGAACTCCCGCTATCTGGAACTCAAATCTTTTCCCTTTGTTTATGCTTTTTCAGTCACTTGCTAATGGCTATCTTGAAGCACTGACATCTCAATCTATTTTTCTTTTCCCTTAAGAGATCAAGATAGCAGGATTCAACTGTAGGGTGCTTGGAAAATATCCCCATTTTTGGGTCTACGCAAGCTGTGGTGCATTTTTTTCTTTTGACATATTGTGATTGCTTTGGCTACATTCTCATTTTTCAGTGTACCAACACGACATCTGCCTAAAGCCAAGAAACAGGACTTCCGTAAGTTACTGCACAACAACAATTATTCCTCCAGTACTGATGATAACCGAGTGTCAAGGTGAGTAAAAATGAAATTTTTATAAAATAGTAATTATTACGACGACTGAATGGTTCAAAGCCTTTTCTGCGGTGTGATTAAAGTATTTTTAAAAGGTTGGGAAAACTTGGAACAATAGCCTACGTGAATTAGACATCTCTCTTTATTTGCTCTCTTCATCCCCTGAAAATGATGTCTGAAATATCATGCCCATACTGAGTAGGTCTGAGTAAAATCCCTTTACAGCTGTAGCATCTCTGAAATTGGTGGTAACTCGCCAGTGAGGTAGACATGATTAAGCATTCAGTAGTTATCTTTAGCTCATGTAATGCCAAGAGGGAATTTGAAATTTTGGTAGAACTTCAATTGGACCCTGCCAATTCAAACTCGATTCTTTTGAACTCCCCATCATTTTGAACTCAAAACCATTTCATTTGGATTTGCCTTTGAGTCATTTTCTGCTCCTACTATTCTGAAAAATGTTTTGTTTCCCCTGAGAATTCAAAATAGCAAGATTAAACTGTATTTGAAATAAAATGCATTTAATCACTGCTGTTTTTTTTTTAAACTATTTTCAGTGAGACAGATATCAACATTCCAAATGCGTCATCTCATAACATTAAACAGGTTTGTGGAAGAAATAAAATAATGTTATGCTTGGTAGAAGTGTGGGAAAGATTTGTGATCAATCATATCAGCTCTTTGGGAAAAAATTTCAAGTTCTCCCAAAATGAGTCACACTGTCCAGAATCCACTGGTATGTGAAAGGTCTTGTGTTGTGCATTTTGGGAGAAGTAAAAGAACTTTTAACAAGTGGCTTGTGTCACTGATTGATGAAATTGTTTTCTCAAGTTGAAGGGGTGCGTGGAAAAAGACCCTACATGACATCTGATAGACTGGAAGATTCTCCCAGCAAACTGCTTTTCACTTCCTTGTACAGAAAAGCAGAATTTGACATGATCAAGAGTCACTTGGGGCTTTTTCCCCACACCCTTTCAGTTGGTGTATTGAACTTGACCTGTTATTCTATCTGTCTTTAACGAGATCTAAATTTTTATCATGATATCCTTACAGTTGTAATAAATTCTATTATTTATAAGAATTTGGCAGTACATCAATGCAATAATAACTCTACTTACTGCAGAGCAAAAAGCATAATCCAACTTTTTGTCTGCTGCAGCTGAAAAACATTTCACACCTCAGTAAAGTTGTATGTGATGGAAAGGTGGATTAATTTCAGTGCCAGCTAGACTCCAAAGTCATCCATATGTTAAGGGAAATTGTAGCTTCCCCCCCAAAATGAACAGAGCTTGCAGATATCTCACAAGATCACATAGTTATGAGAAACTCAGTGCCTAGTCAAACGTTTATAGTCCAACATAGTTCGTTTCTCAACTTTCCTCTTTTTTTACTTTAGAATGTCAGAACACAAAGCTACAAAAATCCATTCGACATTTCACGAGAAGAGCTCTTAGATCAGGTATCTAGGATGAGAATAAACTTTTTTCACACAGCGGCAACATCAACAAGACTACAAGATGAAGGTAAGTTTTCCGTACCTTTGGATTTCTACAGTAACTGCAGATCCGACTCATCCCAACCCTTTCCTCAGCCACTGATTTTCTGCTCTCTGGTTTAAGGAGCAGCTCACTGCCAGCAGTGATTATTTCTTTCCATTTTCTCATCTATTAGTGTCAGTGTAAAAGCAAGCTTAGTCGTGACTTATGCTAGCCAGTTTTTGCATTTTACAAGACTAGCTTCAAATTACCTTACTAATCAAAATTAAAATTGACAAAAGTAGAGAAATACTGAAGAAATACATGTACCCATACCATGTTGGAAAAGGAATAAGAATGGTGAAGCATAGGGTAGCTGTGAAGTAGCGCTTTCAAATTAGGTATCTGAAGCATATAAAAAAAATATATTATTCAGTTTTTTTTACTCTATTTAATCCCCTAGTTTCTTGGTGCTTATTTAGAATCCTGGCAGAGTAGAGATTGGCACTATACCCTATTTCTGGTTACTTGCACCACTTGCTTTTCAACCAGAAAGAATGGCTGAGTGGTGAGAGAGTTCGCCTCCCAACAGTATGACCCAGCCTCTAGTCCAGTCCAGTGTTATATGTGGGTTGAGTTTGTTGTTGGTTCCTCCTCTGCTCCAAGGGTTTTCTCCCCTCCTGAAAAACTAGCCTTTTCATGTTCCAATGGACCACTTTCAACATATTAAAATTCAGCTTGACAGCAAGGCCTACACGACACAAACAAAGGAAATTGAATGATATGTTTATTCATTTCTTACGTTTGTGTCCTCTGGGCCTCACCATCAAGCTGAATAATATTATTATTTTAATATATTGAAAGTAGCCTATCCAGCTGGAATTGAGGGTCTGAAGAAAACTGGCCAGTGAGAGCTGATGAGCTCCCCCTCTAAAAAAAAGTAATTTTTTTAGAATGTATTTTTAACCACTACAGATGCCCGTCACAGTGTAGCCATTGCAGAGATGGGTAATTATCAGGAAGTGCTAAGACAAATGAGTCCCTTGCGTGAAGTTGATCCTGGACAGAACAGGGTGCACATGTTTGGAAATCCTTTTAAACTGGCTAAAGATCAGGTACAGTCACAAATTAAAGAAGAATTCTTTTCTTTTATCATTAATAGCTTCTTAAAAGTGCCATTTATTGTTATACCATATGCTTCTCACTGTTGATCAAAATGGCTGAAGCATTTGCCTCACCTATTGACAATGATAATTTAGCTTTCATTAATTTATGCGATTTAATTTCTTTGTTTTAAATTCCCAATCTTCAGTGATATAGTCATTCAACTTGAACTTCACTTTGTTTTTGTGTATACTGAGTGAACTTTGAAGAACTTAGTTTACATGTGCATGCTGGAGAATTAATGCATCAAGATTATTTCATTCTAACACTGACCTTTGAGCTGAAAGATTTTACAGGTGTAATACTTCATGACTAGCTATGTACTTACATGTAGCTTCTTATCAACCACTGCAAGTAAAGCTGACAGTTTTATCAGAGCAAGAAGAAGACATTTTTGAAATTGTTGACTATAGTCACTCTAGAGGAAAACTCTCACATTTAACAATAATAGGAACTTTTGGTTTGTCACATTTAACTGCAAATTGATTTTGCATTAAATTTCCAGCGAGTGATGGTTGACGAAGCAGATGTAAATGAAGCCATGGCAGGTCCTCCATCACGTAAAAGACCTCCTATGGATAATAGACCTGGCTCTCCAAGGGACAAAAAGAGACAGCAGGAAACACCACCTGTACGGTGGCCCAATAAAATGAACCAAAATGGAGGGCCTCTGATAGGTCCAATCAACAACAAAGTTCCACCTGACAAAAACTTGTCAAACCAGGATGTAAAAGTGAACAATGTCTTTCCTGGTCACCATGGGGTAAAACGGAAACACAGCGAAGGAGGTGATGGAGTGCACAAGTCACGGAAGTCGTCAAAAGGTTTAATAGACCCACAACTTGCAAGGCTTCAACGGCTTCAAAACAAAGGAAGATTAAATAGGAAACATCAACCTGTGACAAAGACTGATTCAGTTAATTCTTCCAAGAATGACTTTGTCTCGTCAATTCTTAAGGAGGCAGTGACTTCTCAAACTAGAACGTTCTCAGGTCAAGGGGGGCCTTTGCTTCATTCCAATGACAATACGCTTCTTAAAAACAAATTCACAAACTCAGAAGCACCAGAGGTGTTTGTTGATGAAGTTGTGAAAGAAAGAGGCAAGGGGCCTTCGCCAAGATTGCTGAAAAAGCAACTTGCACGAGAAGCAATGGAGGAAAACAGACTCATACGCAACACCATATTCAAGGAGATCAGACTCCCTGAAAGAAGTATGTTTGTTTTCTGTAGTGTTGTTGTTGTTGTTTTGCTGTTGTTTTTTGTTTGGTTGTTGTTGTTCTTTCTTCTTCTTCTTCTTCTTCTTCTTCTTCTTCTTCTTCTCCTTCTCCTTCTCCTCCTTCTCCTTCTCCTTCTCCTTCTCCTTCTCCTCCTCCTCCTCCTCCTCCTCCTCCTCCTCCTCCTCCTCCTTCTCCTTCTCC